TGAAGCTGAAAAAAGGGAGGACATCAGCCTAACTGCCTCTGAGTTGGCAATATGCCTCCCCTTGAATCTTCCCACACTTCCATCAACAGCCCTGCTTGGCACTGTCCCCAGCACCCCTGCTTTCTTCCTCCCATCCTCGCCCACCAAACACAGGCAGAAGCGCTCATTTTCTTGCTCCGTGCTGTAGTCAGCATGTCTGCCTTCCGTGTGGTCCCAGACTGGACTGCTCTCTGCCAACAAGCCACTGCCGAATGGCCGCCCAGCAGCCTCAGCCACGCTGGGCGGCAGCCCCCTCCGCTCCACGGCTCTGTAATCTTGCATCCCAGGGGAGCAGCTGCAGGAAGAGAGGGGGTGGCTCACAAACCCACTGCCCCCAATTACCCAAGTAGCTGTGGCTGTTACCAGTCGTACATTCCCGGCCGAAAGACACAGCAGTCTGTAAAATGTGTGAGGGGCAGGCCTGTCAGTAGAGCCTCAGTAGAGGGCTCAGGAGCACTTTTACTGCTGCTTCTAGCCAAGGACACCAAGCACAGAAGGACCCATTTATCCACCCTCTTTTAAATTAGTAAGTAAGCCTCAGCTTCATACTTTCTCCCTTGCAATATATGAACTAGACATAGTTGCACTGATATAAATGTTCATATTGTCATCTTCAGTATTCATCCCCAAGATATTAGGAAAAGTGGTATCGGAACTCCTAGACGTGCATGGTGACTGTGTAGAGTTGTAGGAGGCCAGGCTCATCCAGGGCTTCTCCTGCATGCCAGGAACTAAGAAAAATAAATGAAATTGCCAGGAACTAAGAAAAATAAATAAAGTATGTCCTCCCTATGGCATGAAAGACTCATGACCAAGCTCTTTTCTTCCGGAAAGACAGAAAGAAATACTAGCTTGAAATCACACAGTACTGAAAACCTAGAAGCCGTGAGCCCCTTTAAAATCTATTCAGTCGACAGATGTTATGGAGTCCCTTCTCCATGCCAAGCCCAGGCATTAAATCCATGCAGGGTTTCAATGGTGAGCAGACAAATGAATTTGTAAATGCAAACTGTGATGTATGCTATTAAGTAAAAATGCTCATGGTATGAAGAGGGGACTATAGAGAAGGATAGACTGAGATCATGCCTTCTAAGCTAAGATCTGAAGGATGGCTAGACCATAGCTATTTATTGCTGAAGGAGAGAATGTTACCTTTCATTCAGGATAGTTGGAATTCTGAGTATTTATCCTCATTGTAGAAACAATGCCTTTCAGAAGCAAATCATTCCTCTTGAGAGCCAAAAGAAACCTTTGAGATTATCTACTCTAAACCCCTCATTCTGCAAGAGGAAATTGAGGTCTCAGAAAATATGAGTATTTCCCTCAAGATGGCATATCCGGCCATCAGCAGGACCTGGGAAGGGTCCCAGGACACTTTTTTCTAAAGTCCTATGTTATTTCCAAGATAACATACCCCTTATTTTGCAGTTTTGAAAATAGCTTCTTGTATACATTGCTTTTCCGTAGTCACAGAACTGTGCTCGGAGTGCTTAAAAACAAAGACCTGGCTCAAATGCAACCTCTGCTGATTACAAACTATGTGGCGTTGGATGATTAATTTCTTCTGATTCTCAGTTTCTCTTGTAAAATGTGCTTAATAATGGTGTGGTTTTACATACACACACATGTATATATACAGATATCTGTGTACATGGAAGTATATAGATATGTGTAGGCATATACGGGATGGGCAAAAGTAGGTTATAGTTGTGAGTATGCAAAACAGAGTTTATTCTTTTTAAAAAATTTATTATTTATTGATTTTAGAGAGAGAGTAAGAGAGAAAGCTTAAAAAACATTGATTTGTTGTTCCACTTATTTATGCATTCATTGGTTTTATTCTTGTATATTGCTCTGACCCGGATTGAACGCACAACCTTGGTGTATTGGGAAGATGCTCTACTAACTGAGTTATCTGGCCAGGGCCAGAGTTTGGATAATATCTGGCATATCCATTCTCAATGGTAGCTTTTAATCATTGTGAAATAATATAAATGTAAGAAAGCTGATAGATGAACCTTAAGATAATTATCTCAAGAATGAGATACTCCCCTAACCAGTTTGGCTCAGTAGATAGAGCGTCGGCCTGTGAACTGAAAGGTCCCGGGTTCAATTCTGGCCAAGGGCATGTGCCTTGGTTGCTGGCGCATCCCCAGTGGGAGGTGTGCAGGAGGCGGTTGATCGATGTTTCTCTCTCATCGATGTTTCTAACTCTCTACCCCTTTCCTTTCCTCTCTGTGAAAAATCAATAAAATATATTTTTTTTAAAAATGGTATTTATTCATGTGACATGGGTGCAGGTGGACTGACTCAAGAAAGAGCCAGCAATGAATTGGGGGGTGGAGAGGAGCAGGCTTTTTATGCGCTCAGGGAGAGCTACAGAGGGGGCTTTGGCTTGAAACAAATATCAGGTCCATAGTTTTACGGCCTTGCCCTTTGTC